GGTTTTCCTGCAGCAGACACGGTTTCTGATCTCTCTTCCCTAGCATCTGCTGGGCTCACTGAGCAGCAGAAGGAATTCCAGAGCGTTGCCCTAGATTTTGCTGCCAAGGAGATGGCTCCTCACATGGCTGAGTGGGATGAGAAGGTACCGCAGCCCCAGCAGGGTTGTACCGCTCTGCTTTCTGTCCCTTAGGACATGATGGGTCTTGGGACCCCTAGAGGGGTGGTCCTGCAGTAGCTCCTCGGTGCTGTCACATCGTCTGTAGGGCTTTGAAGCTGCTGCTGCAGCTGGGGTGGAAAGCCATCAGGAAGACCTTGAAGCTTCCCTGGCCAGGCTGTTCAACCACCTGAGACCTGGGTTTACTCCTGAAGATGGTCTCTATCTGCCTAAGTAGAGACAAACCATTCTGCAACCCGCCCAGTTAACGCCAGCTCTGGAGGAGTTTGGGTCTGGCCTTGCTGTACCAAAAGAGTTTGAATGCTGAGATTGAATTCATCCTGGTTACTGTGCTCCCTCTGCCTGTCCCACAGGAAATCTTCCCTGTGGACACCATGCGGAAGGCAGGCCAGCTGGGATTTGGTGGGATCTATGTGAAACCAGACGTCGGTGGCTCTGGATTGTCACGACTTGATACCTCCATAATCTTTGAAGCGCTCTCAACAGGGTGTACCAGCACCACTGCTTATATGAGCATCCACAAGTGAGTTGTTCCGTGGGCTGGATGCAGCTCCCTTGGCGCTGCTTCGTAGTTCATGTTGGGACCCTGAGCAAACCCATCCCTGTGAGGATCTCTTAGTGGTTGTGAACAAACAGGCTTCTAAAGGAGATGCCACCAGGAACTGATTCTGCCTTTGTGGCGTGCAGGATAGGATTAAGTGCTGGCTGTGCAGGCCTCCTGTAATGCTGCTCCTTCTCTGCTGCTCCAGCATGTGTGTTTGGATGATCGACACCTTTGGCAGCGAGGAGCAGAGGCGCCGGTTCTGCCCATCCCTCTGCAGCATGGAACAGTTTGCTTCTTACTGCCTGACCGAGCCAGGTGAGCATCCTCATCGGCTCCTTCCCGGGCTCCCAGCGCAGCCGAGCCGGACTTGAGCCTTCCAAGCAGCAGGGAAGTTTCTTCCTGTGCTTACCTGGGCAGTCACCGGGATGTTGGGAAGGGGCAGGTTGGGGTGGGGGGGAGGTTCAGGCTCTGGACTTGCTTCACTGGCTGCTTCCTTACCTCTTGAGCAGGAAGCGGGAGTGATGCAGCTTCCCTGCTGACCTCAGCTCAGAGGAAAGGGGACTCCTACGTCCTGAATGGCACCAAGGTACCTCCTTGCTCCTAAAGCTGCTGGATGCAGTGCATGCACAGGGTTTCATCTTTTCCATTTCCTGCTATCTCATCTCTGTATTCTCTGCAGAGCATTCACCAGAGCTGGTCCCTGAACACCTTCTGGGGTCTTCACAGCTGCAGGCTCTGGGCTAGCACACGACAGGGACCCCTTTCTTGTGCCTTTCTGCAGGCCTTCATCAGCGGAGGCGGGGACACGGATGTCTACCTGGTGATGTGTCGCACGGGAGGCCCAGGCCCCAAGGGCATCTCCTGCCTGTTGCTGGAGAAGGGAACACCAGGGCTCAGCTTTGGGAAGAAAGAGAGGAAGGTACGAGGCTTGGGGCTTGCTTCCTGGGTGCTTGAGGGAAGTGCAGGATAACGATGAGGGACCTCTTCTGGGGTGGTACCAGAATCCCACCTGGACCGTTCTTCCCAAGCCAGGCCCAGCTTAGGTGAAGTTTGCCCTTTGTGAAGGGAAGGGTTTTAATGTCAGAAGCATCACGGACCGTTGGATCTGTGCCTCTTCTCAAATAGATCATTCCTGTTTCCACACTGAGGCCAGACCACATAGCCTGGGGGTGCTCTGCAGCAGCTTGGCAAGGAGACCGAGAGGCTGAGAGCAGTTCTGTGCTGGGAGCCGGAGCTGTGCTGCTCCTCGGGCAGGCTGAGGGCACTCTGCTCTTCCCCAGGTGGGCTGGAATTCCCAGCCAACTCGAGCTGTGATCTTTGAGGACTGCGTGGTTCCCGTCAGCAACCGGCTGGGAGCCGAAGGGCAGGGCTTCAGCATCGCCATGAAGGGCCTCAATGGAGGCAGGATAAACATAGGTAAGAAAGCCAAGGGAGGAGGAGGAGGAAGGAGGGCAGGATCATCCTGTTCCCTGCCTGCGACTGCTTCCCATTCACTCTGTGTCCCTGCCTTCTCCCACCAGCTTCTTGTTCATTAGGAGCTGCTCACGCCTCTGTGCTCCTGGCTCAGGAGCATCTCACCGTGCGCAAGCAGTTTGGGGAGCCCCTGGCCAACAACCAGGTACCCCCCATCAGAGCTGGGAGGGGACGAGGCCCAGGTCCCGTCCCCCCCACCTCCCTGAGACGCTGACCTGCTTTCCCCTGTGCAGTACCTGCAGTTCAGGCTGGCAGAGATGGCCACACGCCTGGTGGCAGCGCGGCTGATGGTGCGCAACGCGGCGCGGGCGCTGCAGGAGGAGCGGGAGGACGCGCCGGTGCTGTGCTCCATGGCCAAGCTCTTTGCTACCGATGCGTGCTTTGAGGTGGGCTGCTCGAAGCATCGCTTGGGAGCTTTGCAGCCCCTCCAGGGTGTCAGGAAGCAGCTGGGCACTGTCACGACCCAGCCCCAAGCACGTTCCTTGAGCCAGAAGCCTCATTGCAGGAGCAGGGTGTTCATGGGACTGAGTTCTGCAGCCCGTGGAGGCTTCACAGCTCAGGCTTGTGCTTCCTACACTGCCTTCTAGAGGACCAAAGAGGGGGACAGGACAGGGTAAAAGCCGTGCTGCAGGCTGGGAGGTGTCCCTGCTCATGGCAGGGGGTTGGAACTGGATGATCCTAAGGCCCTTCCCAACCCATTCCGTGATTCCCAGGTAGCAGGTGCTCTTTGATAGGCCACTGTTACCCCAAAACGTCCCTGAAAAGGGGAAGCAAGAAGGGAGGAAAAGGAACAGTTTCTCCCTCTCTGACCAGTAGATGGTGGTGGTGGCGTTTTGCATCGGTAGCACCACAGACATGCAGCAGCATACCCCTTAAAAGTGTTTTCCTTGGTGTTTCTGTGCTATAAATGCATCATTAATGTGAAACAGCACTTGGGTGATGCGCTGGCACTGAGAGCAGCACTGGGAGTGCCTTGCTGCCGCATCACACTTGAAAAGATGGGATTAAGTGACCAGAACAAAGACACCAGGGAGGTTCCTGGGTTCTTACCAAGCTCCTGTCCCTGCCGTGTCCTCCGTGTCCCTTCACTGGTGAGTGTTCTCTCCTCAGATCTGTAACCAGGCTCTGCAGATGCACGGGGGCTATGGCTACCTGAAGGACTACGCCGTGCAGCAGTTTGTGCGAGACGTCAGAGTCCACCAGATCCTGGAAGGTAAAGGGCACTGTTAGGGCCAGGAGAACATCATGTCTCTGACAGGGTCTGCCCTGCTCTGATCTCATTTGGGCCATTCTGTGTGCCCTCCTTTGACATCCCTTCACCCACACCCAAGACATCCTCTTTCCAGTACCAAATGGGTCCACACTCCCTCTATGTTAATAGCGAAAACCCGGATGTTGGTTTATGTCCACTGCTGGTGCTGCATCCTCCCAAAGCCCAAATTGATACAAGCAACAGCATCTGCCACTCTGAATCCTGAGCAATGTGTTGTGTTTTGCCCCAACATGTACTAAATGCCACCTCCATCACTGGGAGGAGCTTTTCTGTGCTTGTGAAACTGCTGATCCGGGGAGAATCCTCTATCTGGAGGAAAATCTCTTGACTGCCTCTCTTCTGCACCCCTGTCCTGCTGCAGGTACCAATGAGGTGATGCGGATGATCGTGGCCAGGAGCCTGCTGCAGGCCTGAAACCAGGAGCTCTTCTCCAGCCTTAAAATGCCATCGTGTGTTACACTCACTCTGTTTCCCTCCCCTGTGCACCGGCTCCATCCCTGGGAGCACGGAGGGGGATCGATATCCCTGTGGAAACAGCCTTTCTGCCTCATACTGCCTGGAAGCACACAGCTGGATGCCCCTCACATTCTGCCACCCTGTGCCTGGCAGAGCTGCTGTGCCGTGGCTCCTATTGTGCAGCCTGAGGATGCCAATCACAGCAGTGAATACGAGCCTCCGTCTCCACATCTCCATCATGGGCTGCTTGCCACACCAGAGAAACCCCAGCCTCTGCTGAGTCAGGACTGAAATGGGAACACCGGGCAGAGGTGCAGCCTTAATCCCATGGGATTTTTGCTCTTTAGGTCAAGGGAGCTATTAGCTCTGCTTTAACACCAGGCCTCTGGGGACATAGGGAACAAGTTACCCACATAACTGCAGCTCTAACCACTTGCAATGGCTTTTTAACTATGAAGCAGGATGCTTCTGGGCTACCTGGAAGCATTCCTTTTTATCCCTGCACCCCTTTCCCAATGGACCGACTGTTTGTTCTCCCTATTCCTACCACGTATTGGTGCTTAACCTAAGCGGTACGAACACTAAGGTACTGCATGGGAACAGTTAACCTGTTGTTCCTAATCGGTACTCCCTGCCCTGCACAGCGTAGGGGGAATAAATCAGTGAGTTCAGGTGTTTCCCCCCTCCCATTTGGAATCAATAAAGCAGCGATGTTGATTTGACTGATAATTCCCTTCTGGGCTATGGCAGGGATTAAACCCAGCTCCTCTTCTCCCAGCCCACGCTTCACCCATGGCAGGGCCGGGAGATGACGGACCCTTACCGCCTGCCTTGGGTCTCACCGAGGAGCGAAGCGCGCTGGCCGGGCTCGGAGCTACCTCCCCGGGTAGCGGCCGGCGGAGGGGCACAGGGACCCGCCTCTCCATACCGCCACCCTTCGCCCCGCCCTGCGGGCGCCCAGCCACCAATCAGAGGCCGCTAAGAGGCAGGCTGAGCCCGCGGCTGACCAATAGCGAGCGAGCAGCGGGCGGAGCGGACCAAGGCGGCGGAGTGAGGAGGGGGGCGCGGCGGCGGGGCCGGGCCGGGAGCGCGGCCGCCATGTGGCCGTGCGGCGGGCGGCGGCAGCGCCGTGTCGGCGGGGTCGCGCTGGTCGCGGTCGTGCTGTGGGTGCTGGTGCGGAGGTGAGAGCAGGGCCGGGAGCGGGAGCGTGGGTTTGGGGTGAAACCGGTGAATTAAGGCAGTGCCGGCGGGAGGTGAATCCATGGGGATGAACCCAAATCCTTCCTTGGGGGGGGGGGGGGAAGGAGCGCGCCCTGCTCCCGTTCGGCAGCGTGGGGACGGTTTGCAGCGTGAGTTGCACGGGTGATAATAAACGCAGCTCCTGCCCGTCAGAAACGGTAACGGTAACGTTGCGCTGATGCTGTCCCGGGGGATGCTGGCGCTCCCGTCAGCGCAGAACGGGAGCGGGGTTCCCGTCAGTGCCGCCGCTGGAGCCGCTCCCGTTGCGTGCACCTCGCTCCAGCCTCTCCCGGGGCCGGCTCTTCCCATCCCGTGCCCGTGCGGTACCCAGGGACCGGCGCTGTGCCCGCGGTGCTGCTGCCGCCGCCTTCTGCTCCGGGGCGTTGTTGCTCGGGGTTGTCGCTTGGATCGCATCCGTTCGGGGGTGATGCTCCTCCCTGGACGAGCCTGTGTCGCGTTGGACTGGTCCATGCCGAGCGGCAGGAGCTCTTCAGTCCCTGGCACGGGGGATGATACGAGGGAAGATGTGGTTATTCCTTGGATAGAACAGAACAGATGTGGTTATTCCTTGGATAGAACAGAACAGATGTGGTTATGCCTTGGATAGAACAGAACAGATGTGGTTATGCCTTGGATAGAACAGATGCAGTGGAAGGTATCCCTGCCCCTTGGAACTAGGTGAGCCCTAAGGTTCCTTCCAACCCACACCATGACAACGTGGGATTTATTACTCCCGGGATTTATTGCATGTTTATAATGGGTCCTGGAGTTCATAACAGGAAACTACCTGATCCTCGGGGCTATAGACAAGCTTTGGTTAAGTCCTTGTGTAATTAGAAGCAAAGTTCTCTTAGGGCTGGTCTTGGGTTTGTGCCACATCCGTTCCTCACAGAGGACTCTTGCAAGCCAATACCTGGTAAACGGGTGGAAGTCTGCTCCAAAGAGTGCCTGTAAACCAGGGTGTCCATCAGAAGCCGGTGGTTTTCTCCCGCTGGGAATAACCTGTACCAGGATCATTATCCCCACCACGTGCATCTGGGGCTTGGCTGCCTGGCACAGGACCCTGGTTGCCACCAGACAGCAAGTGAAGGCAAATCAAAGCTTTCCCTTCCCCCTGGCCACAGGGAGCATGGAATAAAGAGCTCTGTGTAGAGTTTAGGGGTTAAATGGAGTCTCTTGTCCTTTAGTGTGGGTCTCCGTGCTTCTCACCTCGTTTTGGCTTCATTTTCCTTCTCCTTTGGCTGCTGTGGGTATGTGGGGGAGCAATACCAAGGCTCGATCCCTGCTCATCAGAGAGGACTTGAGCTGGATTTGGGTTTTTTCATTATGGAGGTGAGAAACCCGAACCTGGGAGCTATAAATTGCTCTCCATTGGAAGCACGGAGGTGGGTGCCAGGGGGTGTTGAGGCAGGGAACGCGCCAGCTGGGTTATGGCCAGGGTTTAGTGGATGAAGCGATGGCGTTATCTTTACCTGGCTGTGTGTTTCCTGGGTGCTGTGGGCAGGGGTGAGTTAGGGCTGAGGAAGTGATCGGAAACAAGGGGTTTTCCAGCTTACTCTTGAAGGATTGGAGTCTCCAGACCCCTCTGAGCTTCCCAGCTCTGGCTTGCACCAAGCTAATCGAGACTTCCTTTTGCAGGTATTACCCGTGCCTGCTGCCGGCTGTTTCAGAGCCCTGTGGGAATGCTGTGCTGTACAGGTACCCTGGGCTTCCCAGCCAGCCCCTGCAGTAGGCTTAGTTCTCCTTGCATTGTGTTGAAGGACAGGTACTAGCTGCTGGTTGGCAATCCCTGTAAGCCCCTCTGCTAGTGCCTGCTCTGCACCTAGAGTAGAGAAAGCAGCTGGAGCTTGAGGCATTTCCCTTCCACTCCTGCTTGCTCGAGACGGGAATTCAGCCCTCACATCTGGCTGTGAGGAGGAGCAAGCTGCTGTTGTCCAGCTCCTCTGCATGTTCAGAGCGGTGGAACTGGGATGATGGAGGCAGTTTGACTGCTTGTTGATGAAATGGTTTCTTGGTTCAGCCATAACCAGCTGCAAGGGGATAGGGAATAGACAGAGCACGCAGGAAGCACCCCAAATGGAGCTGTGGTAGCATGAGGACTCAAGGCGGTAAGTGCCGTGGAACCTGGCGTCGCCTTTGCTCCTGTTCTGTTGGCAAACAACATAGTGATGGAAGCGGTGAGAAGCTGGTGCTGGCAGCTGGCTCTGCCTTTCCTGGGATGGATGTAATCCAGGACATGAAGGAAGAAGCTCTCTGTTCCCACTGAGGGCACTTTGCCTTCCGTGCATGGAGTTGGAAGGTGTCAGAGGCCACAAGGTGCTCAGGGTGTCACTACCCAGCTGCAGCTGCTGTTGGAGCAAGGACCTGGGAATCGGCCATCCCGCTGCAAAACAGGGACATCTGACAGGGAATAACTTCGGGAAGTGCTGGAACTGGGGGTGAGGAGCTGCCCTCCTCCTGTTGCCAGTGGGGTGATTCCATGCTCCGGGCCGGAGCGGTGCCACGGTTCAGTTGCAGAGCGTGGCAGAGAGGCTTGGGATGGGAGCTGCTACTGAAAGGAAGGGTAAATGCACATCGTGGGCAGGCTTCCCTCTGCCTATAGCTCTCTATGGCAAAGAGCGTGGCTTGAGGAGCAGTCAGAGCGGACCCTGCCGGGTTAGGGGAGCACGAGCAGCCTCTCAGGGGTCAGATTTGATCACTGGAGGCCGGGTGCTCTCATCCCTGCCTTTCTCTTCCAGGTTTAACTGGAGCGAACTGGTCCCTCTGCGGTTATGGGGGAGGACCCTGGGCCTGCAGGCAGAGCACTCGCAGTTCCTGCTGGAGGGCATGCCGTTCCGCATCTTTGGAGGCTCCATGCACTACTTCCGAGTGCCCAGGGAATACTGGGAAGATCGAATGCTGAAAATGAAAGCCTGTGGCTTGAACACCCTCACGACGTAAGTGCCCCCCCTCCCTCCCTATGGCTTCCATAGTGGTTGCTGGGATTTGTCCTCCATCCCGGCTGTTTGAAGGGATGCTTGTGCCCAGGGGTGCGCGGGGGGTCTCGGTGTGCTTCACCAATGCAGAGCCCTTTCCCCCCCTGCACTGCCCAGGTACGTGCCATGGAACCTCCATGAACGAGACCGAGGGAAGTTCGACTTCAGTGGGAACCTGGATCTCGGGTACGTGGTGCCTCTTCCAGCTCCGCTCCAGACCCGCTTGGCTCTGCTGGTTGTGGGTGAGGAGGTCGTTTCCAGCCCGTGCCTTGATCAGGCAACGGAGGCTCTCATTCCTTCTGGAGCTCCTTGGAGCTGTCGTCCCAGTCCCAGCCTCAGCAGGCAGTTGCTGTGCTGTGCCACACGGTGACTGGTGCAGGCAGGCACTGATGAAGCTCTCTGCATCCCCAGGGCCTTCCTTTCGCTGGCAGCTAAGAACGGCTTGTGGGTGCTTCTGCGTCCTGGCCCTTACATCTGCTCCGAGTGGGACCTTGGGGGTCTGCCCAGGTAAGTGTGTGCTGCTTCCCTTGGGGGGGTGGAAAAGCCCTTGGGCACACGGCTGAGCCCCCTTCAGAGATGGGGAAGGGTTGGCTGACCCCTAACGTGCCACCCTCCTGCTGTGTGCTTGGAGAGCTGACTTGAAGACGTGAGCATTGAGGCTCGCCTGGATACTGGATCCCAGTGGAACCGGTTGTTTTCCTCACCGTCAGGGAGTGTGAACCTTAGTGGAGACACTGCAGTGGGGATTGCTGCTTGGAGTCTTCGTTTCTCAAGATGCCTTTGGCATCAGAGGGCTCGAGGTGGAATGGAAGGTGTGTGGGGATGGCTTGTGTGCCCAGAGGCAGCGGTTGGCTCTGCGTGACGGGGAAGTGCCTGTATTGCCCTGTGCATCTTTATCACTCAGATAAAAGACTGATAAAGAGCAGCAGTGCTGTTCTCGTTTCACAGATAAAGAGCAGTGATTTTGTAAGCCCAGTGAGCTGCTCGCAGAGTGCAGGAGCTGAGTATTCCAGACCTCTGGCAGCGCTATTAGTTAATGCCTCCTTATGCAGAGACAAGGAAGGTGCAAGCTCGAAGCGTTACAGCGTGGCACTGGTCTGCTCTGAAGCCAATTGCTCTTTCCTCTGTTAAGACCCAACCAACAAACTAAGTCTTGGAAATGAGCAGTAGAAACCACGGGAACAATGCCTGGAGGCGTTGTTTGGGTGATGGTTGGGGTCTGTGCCCTAGGGGATGCAGGATGTTCCAGGGTAACCTTGCGAGTGGTAAGTTTAGCCCTTGAAATCCTCTTGGGAAAGGTATGAAATGAGCTTAGGCCCAAACTGCAGGCCAAAAGGAGGGGGAGAAGTTGGCAATTGCAGCCTGGCCTCACTGGAAGGGGTGATGGGCCCCCCCCGACTCGGGTGTCCATACCTGCACTGTGGCCTTAGCCAAGTTGCCCATTCCTTGAGTGGCCAGGAGACTCTGATGGATTCTGTTTGCTGCCTTTCTCGTAGCTGGCTCCTGCAGGACCCAGAGATGCAGCTGAGGACAACATACAAGGGCTTCACGGAAGCCGTGGATGCTTATTTCGACCGTCTGATGCCTCTTGTGGTCCCTCTTCAGGCAAGTCCAGCCCATTACCCTCCCTGTCCACAAGCAGGGACTGTGTGTGATGGCAGCAGGCTGAAGCAGTACCAGGGTTGTCTCTGTCAGCTCTCCAGATCCAGAGGTTTGGTTGTACACAGACGTTGGGAGGGTGGAGCTGAGTCCATCCGAGACTCCTGCATCTTCCCTGTGCCCCCGAGGCTCCTGTCCATCTGCTCAGTTCCCTGCTGACCGACTTCTCCCTCTCGTTCCCAACAGTACAAGAAAGGAGGTCCCATCATTGCAGTGCAAGTGGAGAACGAGTATGGCTCCTATGCCAAAGACCCAAACTACATGGCCTATGTTAAAACGGTAACGTTGGCACGGGCACTTGTTTCTGGGGTGAATCTCTCCTAAACACCTTCCGTATGGGAGCTGGGCTTCAGAAACCCTTGGAAGCATCAGTGCATCATCCCGCTGCTTTCCCCTTCTGTCTTTCCTCCTGGAGTGGAAGAGATGGCATATGAGCCTCTCAGGACTCGTGTCTCCCCGAGAAGAGGCTGATAGGGAAATGGGGGAGCATCTGGAGTAGATAGCTAGCCTTGAAGAAGCTGTCTCCTTCTGGTCCTGGTTGGCTTCTCTTAGCATTAGGGGAAGGTTTCTCTTTGCCTCTGACTTGCGTGGCTGTGAACAAGCCAGTGGCACGCACCTGAACGTGTGTGATCTGGAGCTCAGCTCCGGGCAGGTCATCTGCCAAGTGCCTCCCTTCCCCTTGGCAAGCAGAGACTAATCCGTGCCCTGGCCCCTGCCTCTGAGCTGAGTGATGGAGAGTTGGCCAGTGCCCACGGGGGCCAGGTTATCCCAGTGGATCTAACGCACAGAGGCAGGGTTAGGGTTGGAAGGAACCTTAGCGATCATCCAACATAAGCCTGTCCTCTTTGTTTGCCCCCAGCACAGCTGCAAGGCAGACACTTCACAGTGCTTCAAGTGCTGTTACAGGGGTGTGCATTGCTGTGAACTGGATGTTCCCTGTGCTTCTGCCTTCTGAAACCCTCCGCGTGCCCCAACTTCACCTTCAGGTTCCCTCTGGCTCTGGTTGTCCTCTTGCTTAAGGTATAGAGAGGCTCTTGCAGTGAATCAATGGTGTGGCAGGAGTCTTAACCTGCTTAGAGCAGCGCCTGCACTATCTCCATCCCGTGGAGTGATTCAGCATCGCTTAGAAGGTTCCATAGGGAGTACACAGTAACATGTGAAGGAGTTAATGGCCAGTCTGCACTGATAACAGATCAGCTTCCTCTCACCAGTCACACCAGTGGCAAGTATATAAGCAACTGGCTTGCAGAGGCCTGCATGGATGGGGCGCAGGGGCTCTGTTGTGCCTGAGCAGCGTGTTGCCTCGGTGCTTTTCCATCTCTCAGTCCTGGAAGAGCGTGTGATGCTTCCCAGACCTGCCAGAACAGATCCCCTTGCCGGGCCTGCTGTGGGTGTGTTTTTGCAGTGCTGTTTCATCATCCTCTGGTGCTGTGTGCGGCGTGCATCCGAGGAAGTGCATTGGGGTGGTTGAAGGTGGAAATGTGGGAAAGCAGGATCTGCAGGGCATCCTTTTCGGTTGGAGTGGGATCTAACGTGAGGCGGAGCTCCTGGTCTGTGTCCTGGTTTGGGTTTTAAACTCGGTTGATTCACATCTGCAGCTAGAACACACGTTGCAATCCTCCTGGAAGGAATATGCCCATTAAACCTTCCCAACCTCATGGAGCACCTGGAAGCCCTGTGCTAACCTCCCCTGTGTGGGTGCAGTGCCGTGTCCTGGCAGCTCCCTCCCCGCGCGGAGCAGGAGCTGGGATTAGCTGAGCACTCGCCTGGGTCTGTTTCTATTCCTGGTTTCTCTGCTGTGCCCTGGAATGCCCTAAGCCATTCCCATGTGTGCAGCTCTCTGCTGGTTCTCCATTTCACACTTCCATTCAAGAGACAGGCAAAGAAACTTCACGTGGATACACAAGAAGCTGTGTTAGAAACTCCAGTCCCTCGGTAGCTGGATTCTATCAGCTCCCAGCATCCAGTGGGGTATCAATAAGTAATTCCAGGTCGATAAACAAGGCAGGTTGTCCCAGCTTGTCTCTAAGCTTTGTGCTGGAATTCCCTAAGGAATTCCCTGTGCGGAATGCTCCAGTCTTCTCTTTGTGCAGGCTGGTGCTGTCTGCAGCGGTTTCTCTGGTCGCGCAGCACACACGAGCCGGTGGCTGCACGTGGTGCGGGTTGCTTTATCTGATGAATGCCTTTGTCGCCACTTCAGAGGTAGGAATTCGGAGTGAGGGCACTGCAGGTTTGTTCTCCGAGCTGCTCGAGGCTGAGGGAGTGACTTCCCTGCGGGTCCAGTGAAAAGAGGGGTGAATTTGGGGTTTCCCCATCTCTCCTGCAAACACGAGCCACTGCTCTGTAAAGAAAACGCCCAGAAGAGAGCAGGCCTGATGGGAAGAGCCTTCTGTGTGCACGGGCATTTTAAAGCCTTAGGGTCCTGTTTCATACAGAGAAGAACTTGGAAATGCATTGCCTTGACTGGTGAAGAGCACCGGTACCTGAGCAGTCCGTGATGCGCTCACTGGCACATCAGCTCCCATTCAGGGAGGGTGAGCTGCTTCCCCCTGAAGCCCTCTCTCGGTGGAAAGCAGTGATGCTCTTTATTTAGCTGCTCTCAGAAGGAGAGGAAACCCTGGAGTCTGATGCATCACCCTTGCAATCCAGCTTGCTAAGACAGAACAAGGTTTGGCAGCTGACTTTAAGCGTTAGGAGCAATGGGAGATGTCACGGGAATAGTGTTTCTTACCAAGACACTCCCAGTCTCAAGCTATCCCCAGAGGTGCTGATGATGTGCTCGAATGCTTTAATACCCTGACCAGCATTGAACTCGGGCTGTTAACGCAGTTGCTTCTCCTCTTTCTCCTTTAGGCCCTGCTAAACAGAGGGATTGTGGAAATGTTAATGACCTCGGACAACAAGAATGGGCTGTCCTATGGCTTAGTGGAAGGAGGTATGTGCTCAGAGCAGGTGTGTGCTTGGAGGAGAGCAGGGTAAGGCTGTTCTTTGCCAGGGGCAGCTGATGAAACATAGCCTTTGGGTGAGAGCAGTATGCTCCATTCACTAAGCTGCACCCATTAGCTGTGTTAATCAGATTACAAGGCTGGAAATACTACTTCTTATTGCTTCATTTCAATAGATACTAAACAAGTACCTCAGCCATTATTAATAGTAATAACTTAAGAAGAAGATACCCACTTTGCAATAAACAAAGAGAAGGAAAAAGCCCATCAAAACCTTGCTTCAGAGATACAGCATCCTGTAAGGTTAGTGGGTTGGGGTAGCCCTCTCTGCTCAGCCAGCTTGCTCTGGGCTTACAGCCTCTGGTAGGTAGGTGAAGGAGGGCATCCTTTGCTAATCCCATGCAGGAGGATGATTAAAGGCATTTCCCTCCTGTTTTTCCTCCTCTTGTTCTTATGACAGGGTTTCTATGTCCAGGTTGGATGGGGCTTGGAGCAGCCTGCTCTAGAGGAAGGTGTCCCTGCCCTTGGCAGGGGCTTGGAGCTGGATGAGCTTTAAGGTCCTTTCCAAGCCGAATAATCCCATGGTTCTATGACCGTAATAAGAGAGGGACAAATTCAGCCCATGGCCCTACCCCAGCACTGCATCCTCTCACGTGTATTCTGGTGGCGTGCAGCAGTCTTCAGCCATCACCACACAGAGTCGCTCTCCCCCTTGGCTCTGCTGTGGAAGTCCCTGTTTAGCCCTCCCCATCTCCTGTGGGAACGTTGCCTGCCTCGGAGCTCGTGTTTTTAGTTGCCTTTTGCAGCGTGTTGCATGCTGAGCGCTCTTGGATACCAATTTGCCTCTTGGATGTCATAACAATCTGCTCATTAGAGTCAACGTGTCAAGTAATCAGATGTGTGGAATAACTAGGGCTCAGAGCAGTGGAGCAGCAAGGAGATTATGGAAGCACTACAGGGGAGAGAACAAAACCCGCTGTAGAAATGGGTAGGCAAATAGAGAAGGCTGTGCTCTGGAGCTGAAACTGGACGTGATTTTGCTGATCCAGTTCATCACTGGTGTACTGAGTTCTGCCCTTCACGCCAGGAGCAGTCTGGTGCTCTGCAGAGGAAACTCTTGGTGGAAAGCTGTGTGTATGTGAGAGCTGCCAGCTGGGGAATGGATGGGGATGGCTTTGGGGACTGGTTCTCTGCGCAATTCCCAATGGTGTGCTGCTGATCTGCGTGGAAAGCAGAACAGAGCATGTTCACCTGCGGGATTGCCAAGGGATGCTAAATCCAGCCACGTACCAGGGGCTCGGCCCTTAATACCAGATCAATGTCTTCTAATGCGTGGGCTCCTGGAGAGAGGTTGTCCTGCTCCAGTGCTTGAAGCTCATGCAGTGACCCTGGCTACGCTGCAGCACACACCAAGGAGCTGCTGGTCCCCTCGTGCTGCACAGGGCAGAAGCACAGATTAAGCTTCCCAATTTCTATCTGCTTCACTGGTGCTGTGGTTTCTCTCACCCACCCCGCAGGCCTGACAAGCCCTAAGGTAGCAGGGGTTGATTCCTGACTCCTGGAAGCTCAGTGTGCATCCAGACTAACCGGTTTGCCTTTATGTGGTGCTTTTTATCTGAGGACCTCCAAGCGCTTTACAGCCTCTAACTAAAGCTTGTGACACCCTGGGACCTACTCTGGTGCTCTCCTTCTGGTACCTGTGAACAGGAGAGCCACAGAGATGGCTGCAGGTATTCCACTGTGTGCTGCTGTCCAGTTTGATTCTGCATACCCAGTGAAGGCTTCGATGGGCAGCTTCTGAGGAAGCTGTAATGATGGTTTAGATGATGCTCCGCTTGCCCCTGAGCTCATGCTGGATTCCCAATGGTCCCTCAGGCATTTTGCAGGTGGTTAAAGGAATAAACCCTTTTCCTTCTCCCCAATAGCACTGGCCACTGTTAACTTCCAGAAGCTGGAACCTGGGCTGCTGAAACATCTGGACTCGGTGCAGGTAAGGTGCAGGAGTGCTGTGTTGAGCTTGATTTGGAAGGGCAGCTCTGGAAATGGAGCTCTTGTAGTTGCTACCTTCTCCTTTTTAAGGGCTTTTATTCCAGAGAGTGATAAAACTCCTCCTTGGATGAGTTTGGTAGGGAAGGATTGATGAGACATTCCCAAGAGCTGCTCTGAGCCTGGAACAGTTAGATCCCTACAGGCACCTGCAGTTGTTTCCTCCTACTGAAACATGAGTTTCTTTAATGCCACTTAACGTGGCCGTTCCACGTGGCACCAGATAAAGCCCCTGTCAAACAAAGGGCAGAATTCCCTCTGCTAGGGATAAGTGCCATGAGGAGGGAGTGCCAGCCAGGCTGAGCTCCTGGCAAGTGGGATGGGGCTGGCTGGAATTCCCGAGGAGCTAAGGCAGGCTGTGACACATAGGAAGCAATTGCTCTGTGTCTGCAATTGCAGAGCCTTTTAATGAAGACCTAATTCCTGCAAAGGCTAATTCCTTGCTGCCAGGGCCATGTGCAGCATTAAAAAGGCATTAAGCTGCTCAGCGCTGCTGTTGTACCTTGGCAGGCATTCATGCAGCGCACCTGCACGCTCGGGGCTGGCACTGGGAAGCTGTCATTCCTAAATGGGTATTTCCAGGAGCAAAGCAGTGACGATTGGTTTGTGCTTTTGCTCTGGCTCTACCACACAACAGGATCCAGAAGTGTTTGGTGGCGCCTGGTTGAGCGCTGTGGGTTTTGCTTTGTGCCTAGAAGAGGTCTTCTCTGCTTTGCTTGGGCGCTGCAGCCCCACAGCGTCTTGTTCACAGCTCTCGGGTGCCCTGGAGAAGAAAGCACGTTGCCAAACTGCCTTTGACCGATGCTTCTCTAGAAGAGCCAAGTCTCCAGTTTAACTCCTTGGTTTTGTTTCGCTACAGAGAGATCAGCCCAAGATGGTGATGGAGTATTGGACGGGATGGTTCGATAACTGGGGGGGCCCTCACTATGTCTTTGATGCGGACGGTGAGCACTATATCCTGCTCCTGTAGGGCCCGCAGCAGTTTGCAGCCTTTGCTTTGTGGGAGGCTTTGGAGATGAAGAGCCCCGCAGCGAGTGGCTCACGTTGCTGGGCTGTGGCTTTCCTTGGGTCGTGTCAGTAAACGGCAGCTGTGGTGATGCAGGTTTTCCTCTGGGGTTCTGTGCTCTCAGTGTCAGTGTCAGTGCTGCTCTAGGGGGGTTTAAAAGTGCAGCCCAGTGATTGAAACCCTCAGGGTCACCTCCTGAGCTCATTAGGAAGGAAAACTGGTGCTGAGCACACCCAGCCCAGCCAAACCTCCAGACCCCCCCTGGGTGTCTAACACAGGTGCTGTAGAGGCTGGGAAAGCTGTGTAATGCTATTGTCATGACTGTCTCACCCTCCTGCAGTTGTAATTGGGCCATTAGTGGTTGAGTAGAGGAGGCTGAGTAGTGCTTCCAACCCCTCTGCTTAAAAGCAGAATTCCTGTTCAAGGACATGAGCTTTCCCCTTTTTCACCTATAGGAGAGCTGTATTTGAATGTATTAACGTGTCCTGGTACGTCAATAGATGTGCTGCTCTTCCTGAGGGCAAAATCCATATCCCAATCCAAATCCCTGCAGTGATACTGACTGACAAGGACCAGAATGTTTGTGTCTGGAGGAGTTTTAGCCTAGCTTCTTGCTCTGTGGCCTACCTGGCACTGCCCTTCCTTTACAGAGATGGTGAATACTGTAGCCAGCATCCTCAAACTGGGAGCATCCATCAATCTCTACATGTTTCACGGAGGCACCAACTTTGGCTTCATGAACGGTGCGTTGGAGGCTGATGAATACAAGTCAGATGTCACCAGTTATGGTGAGTTTTCTCCCATGGCCTTGCCCATGCACCTACAGAATGCAGCTCAGGCTCCCCTGTGGGCTGGTTACACTTGACAGAAGCATTGAGAAGTGATCACTACGTCCACTTTGTCGTGGAGAGATGAGTTGGAAGAGAGCTCAGAAGCAAGTACCTGTATACAAGGGGGGTTGCAGTAGTGTTTCCTATTTCCAGACCCATTCCAGGGTGTGGAGAACCCCCTCATTCTGAATTGGGAATAGAAGTCACAGATGACAACTTTGCCTCGTGTTGATAGTGCTGTCCCAGAGCTGCTGTGTGCTCCAAACCACCCCTGTGTTGCTCTTTTAGATTACGATGCTGTGCTGACAGAGGCTGGAGATTATACATCCAAATTCTTCAAGCTCCGGCAGCTCTTCAGCATGATCATTGGTAAGGAGAGATCCAGCCCCAAGTCACTGTCCTGCCTCCAGTGTTCAGGTTTCAGCTTCTTTAGCTGGAGCCCAGTGGCTCTGGTTGGTTCTTGTGCTAAAGATGGGTGGGAGAACCAAAGGAGGCTTTAAATCTGTGCTGGCCTTTGGTATCTCAAAGAGTCCATCCATCTTTATCTTTCTTTTTGTATCTCAGGCCAGCCTCTTCCTCTCCCTCCTGTGATTGAAAGCAAGGCATCATACGGTGCAATCCTGCTGCATCAGTACATCTCTCTCTGGGATGTGATACCATCTCTTCTACAGGTAGCGCTACCAATCTGCATGCTGAAAGGCATCACTCCTTAGGTGGGAAGGGCAATTAGTGCTTGTTACCCCAGGAGGATAAAGTCAGGTAGGGTTTTATCAAGGGCCTTTGAAGGAGGCAAATCTTTTATCTCGCCTCTTTTACTGCCACTTCCCTTATCTTGGAATTCTGGTTTTGCAAGTCCTTGGCTCCCTTTTCTGGCACCTTCCTGACTGTGGCTTTCGGAGAGTCAGGGGTATTGGGTGGAACAGGAGGTTTACAGGGTAGATGTGGAACACCTATCTGAAATGAGCTGCCTCTGGGTGGGCTGTCAGTGCTGAGAGCCCATTTCTGCCCTTCCATCCCTTTCTCCTTTGCAGCCCATTAAGTCAGAGTTTCCCATTAACATGGAGAATCTGCAGCTGAATGAGAGCAGCGGGCAGGCCTATGGGTACGTGCTCTATGAGACTGTCATATTCGGTGGTGGCCACCTCCACTCAAGGAACCACGTCCGTGACCGAGCACAGGTAAGGAGCAGATGGACCAGCCTCAGTCAGGTGTAAATGCTTTGGACTTGGCAGGCAGGAAATGGGTCAGCCACGAAGGGAAATGGGAAGTTCTCAGCTAAGCCCCAACCCTCACCATGTGTGAATCAGGTTGAGGTTCCGGTCTGATGGAGCTTCTGTCTTTACACAGCAGAATATTGGCTGTTCTGAGGGATGCTGTGGTTTTCCTCCCCCACTTCCACTCAGTCAGTGGCACCGAGTTCTAGTAGAGGCAATTTCCTCCCCAGCTACAGCTTCATGCAGCTATGACTGTATAACTGATGAGAGGTTGCTCTCCTCTCTTGTGCTCTGCTCTGCAGGTGTTTGTTAACACCATGTATGTTGGTGAGCTGGACTACAACATAGTGGAGCTCTCCCTTCCTGAAGGACAGGTAACTGCTTGGAGACTGCTCACAGTAGGATGGGGATAACAGGACCACGACTGCTAAAGAGGAATAGCTCTGCAGGAGGCACCTCCCACTGAATCCCTTTAACAGTAGCCTGACACAGGGAATGGTTGTTATACCCCAATGAGACACTGTTTCACCAGTGAAATACAGGGTGGTTTCACTGCCAAGTGAGGGTTTGTGCTTGAGGAGTGGGGTTTGAATACATCTCCATGGAGAAGATTCAAGTCACTGTTGTCTTTGCCACACATTCTACAGCTGCAACCGTGTAGGCTTCACCTTCCTTAGCACAAAGCAGCTTTTAAGGGGGTTTGGGGGCTTTTGCACATTTTAGGACTTAAATAAAATGAGGGGGGATGTCTCTTTTTTGCTCTGAGAGCAATCTTACCCTGGCAGAAGTTGGCAGTAAGACCAGTGCATTGATTGAAGCATGTCAACAGAGCCGTGCATGGCTCCTGGGTGAGTGGGTCGGATACAGGAGTTGTTCTTTTGACTTGATGGAGAGGTGTCTGACATGAGCTGTACTGTGTCAGACTCCGTTTCTGGCTCTGTGGATGATACCAAAATGATGCTTCAGCTTTTAACAGCAAGAAAAACCCAGCTCTTACGAAAAGGCTGAGAGTTGCTCAGGGGCATCACTGCTTGTAGTAGGTAGAAGGTACAAACCTGCCCCATGATCCAGAGCTTTCAACAGGCAAAATGCAACTGCCAAAGGTATTGGTGCCACCTTCCCTCTATTCAACACCTCCACTGGCCTCTATTAGCCAGGCACTGGGGCTGATACAGCACATGCTGAGCACTGGTCCAGCTGATGCTCTTCCTTATCTTTCTTACAGGGATTCAGGCAGTTGAGACTCTTGGTAGAGAACCGTGGTCGTGTCAATTATGGCCTGGCACTCAATGAGCAGAGAAAAGGTAAGTGAAGTTCTTTGTTCTCCCACTGTCCTACATAGTTCTCTGAGTATAAGCCCTGCAGAACTGAGTTTGATGCTGGAGGATCACAGCAGTTAAAAGCTCACCCAATTCCAGGAGGAGCAAATTGAGCGTACTAAAACGTTCAGGTCTGACCCAGCTGTGGAGCTGCACGAGGTCAAGCCCCCAGGATTCCATTTTAGTGGGGAGTTAGGTGCAAAACCTGCACGAAACAGACCAGTGGGCTTGGGCACGTGGCTGTACTCAGCTTTACTGCAGAAGAGGTGCACAAAGCCTCTGTGACAGTCTCAAAGGCACTCCTGTAAGTAGGAGGCTGGATTAGGACCCAGCTTTGCCTGCTACGTAGAGGATAACTTTATGTAACAAGAGAGTGCAAATGGCTTCTTCAGGTGCCCTGAGATCCGTGGATGAGCAGCAGTGGATGCTCAAGCCCCTGGCACCTTGTGCTGTGCCTGTTAGAGAAGCAGCCCATTGGCTGCTTTATAGCTGGTCAGCTAAACCCAGCAATGCACCCTGGCTGCTGCCTGTGCCAGCTGTGCCTTCTGCTTCAGCAGTGCTTAATGGCTTGGTGGGTAGAAGCAAAGGAGAGAGTGGGGAGGCCAAAGCCCAGTGATGTTCCCTACTCAATCTGGATGAGCAGTGGGACCACATGGACTCGTAATTCCATTGCAGAACATGGCTGCTTTCCATCTCCCGCTGTTCCTCACGTTCCAATAGGAAGATCTCTTAGCTTTAGCTGTTCTTAGCTCTTCATCACCCCCATTGCTCTTGCAGGCTTAATTGGTGATGTCTTCTTGAATAATACCCCCTTGAGGAACTTCAAGATGTACAGCTTGGAGATGAAACCTGCCTTCATGAAGAGGTTTGTGGCATTGAAAACTCTTTCCTTCCTCGTTTGAAACCAACTTTTACCAACAGGGCAAAATCTGCTCCATAGCAGTTCCATATGGCAGGCAGCACAAGGTAAAGCAGGGGATGCTTTGTCTGTGCTGTGATTTAGGGGTGAAGTGTATTCCCACTGTGGAGGATTTAAAGGCTTCCTTCAGAGCAGGGTTCGATCAGGCAGGTAAGAGCGTGGCTCCCCCAAAGGGATGGGTCCCAGCACACCCAGGAGCTGGGCTGAGGATCTGAAAGGTCTTTTCCAACCTGGTTGTTTCTGTGATTCCCTGTTGGAGATGACTTAGTAATTCAAGCTCACAAGAGATGGATTAACTCTACTACTGATAGTACATTAACAAGCAGGGGGAAGTCAAGGAGCCTCTTATAGAAAAGACCTTAGCAAATGTTTAAGGCAACAGACACCCTATGGACTCTGGCCACCATCCTGAGAGCCTGTTTGCAGCTTGTTCATTCCAGAAAGGAACACAGTGTGCATCCCCCGGGATCTCACAGCTCCTGTGGTGTGTGTAGGAAGGAGAATGGAGGCCATGAAATGGCTTTTCAAAGGGATCTGGGCATTTCTGAGGCTGATCTTAGGAGGTGCTGGGGGGGCTACTGGAAGGGTATTGACGGGGTGACTGCCATAAGCTTGGGCTGCAAGTGAGCTGCCATACCCAGGCTAAAGCAAGGTTGGTCAGCACTGGCAAGTGCCCAGGAGCAGCAGAACACAGCGGAGAACCACTTCAGTGGGTGGGAGGGTGTGAAAGGCTTTTAGCTTGAGTGCTCCCCAGTTATTCAACTGCACTGGATCAGCGGCTTCCCTGATTCCAAGAGCTGCACCTCCTAAGGGTCAGAAGGAACACGTGGGACCCCCACACTCCTCTGTTCCTCTTCTGTTTGCCCCCTGCCCCCAAACTGTTGCCACAGGTAAGAAATGGTGCCAGATTGCCCCCAGTTACCGCAGGTTCCCATGGACGTGTCTGTGTTCCTCACCTGGAACGCGGGCAGGAATGTGTGGTTTGAATCCTGTCAGCTCTGCAGGTTTTCCTCTAGCACATGCCAGCCACCTCCATTGCGGCTTGCACCGCGGTATCTGAAGGAGGACGGGCACTTCAGTAGTGTTAGAGACGGTGATAGCCCCATAGAGCCTTTTCCTTTGTACCAGGAGTGGGGCTGTTGGTGATGTGGCAAGCACAGGATAACAAAGACCCCCTTGGTGCTTGCCTTGGCTATCTGCAGATGACCACTCCATCCCTTTGCAGCATGAGGGCCCCCCTCCCTCTAGAAAGCAACTGCTTGACACTGCAGGCACGCAAAGCAGTGGCAGCCCTGCTGTAACAGCTCCGTGCTGTGTTTGCTCCTTCTCTGCCAGCTTGCAGCGTGTGACGGGCTGGAGCGCCGTCCCGGATTACTTTGTGGGTCCAGCTTTCTTCCGTGGAAGGCTGTGGATCGAGCATCAGCCCCAGGACACGTTCCTGAAGCTACAGGCAAGTCCTTTGTGTTTTCTGGATCAAGAGGTTTGGAAGCTGCGTGGTCTGGGCTCTGTGTAGTCTGTAGTGGTCCTGCTGGGAGAACACGGGCGATGCTGAGCCTGCAGAGCTGCTCCTCTATTGACAGTGTTTTCTGCTTGCTACTCTCTAGTTGCAGAGCACACCAAAGGAAGGAGGCACTGGTTTTAACCCTACCTCCTCAATGGGGCATGGAAAGAGGCACTTCTTTGTAGACGTGAGAGTTAGCATTCGCTCACATCTTCCTTCTGTGGCTTATTGCTGCTCTTGCAGAGAACTCCAGCTATCGTTCAGCTTCCTTCTCTGATTTCATTCCCTTCAAGCCAGGGTTGATGCCAATCATTATTGTAGTGCTCCCTTTTCCAGTTATGCTTTGCTGTCAGTGCAGGATTTCTGTCACCTGGGGAAATAGGTGGGAAATAGGTTCTGTGCCTGGGAAGAAATCACGATGTGTCTGTCAAAAGGATGAGGTTTTCCTGTACAAGCTTTGGAAGCTTTATCCTTTTCATTAGTGCTTTAGGGATAACTCCTGTTCAATGGGGCTTAAACGTTCCTGGCTTCAGGGAGAGCAAGCAGAAAACCTGCGGGAAGTGGCCTGGAAGAAGGCGAGTGTGAAGCAGACCGAATTCCCAGTGGGAATGCCAGGCAGGCAGTACAGCTGCCTCCGTAACCCGGTGTTCTCCTGGTTCTAGGGCTGGGAAAAGGGAGTTGTGTTTGTCAACGGGCAGAACCTGGGCCGCTACTGGAAGATCGGCCCTCAGGAAACACTCTACCTTCCTGGTCCCTGGCTGCGGAAAGGGAGCAATGAGGTGAGAGCTTCCCCTTTGCTTGCTCGATGCAAGATCCTGCCCCGAGCCAGGTCCCAAAGAGCTGGACATAGATCATGTATTGATTGCCTGTGTCCCAGCTGCAAAGCAGTGCGGCACAGAGGAAGGAGGCTGCTCTCTCCTAAGGTCTGGGAGATGAGGGATTGTGGCTCTGACAGCCGGTGAGACATGATGGGGATGGCAGCTCGACTTCGAAGCCATCACGTTCCAAATCAAGGCAAACCTGATTTGGTTCATGTTCAGCAGCGTGTGGTGCTGAAGAATCCCAGTCACTGCTCAGAGCTCTAAGTGCTGCTGCCTTCCCCTACTGGGATGGTGTGCCTTTTCCTCCTCAAACTGCTGACAGTAACCTCGTGTGAGCAATGGTTTTGTGTCCCTTTCTTCTGCAGATTGTCATTTTTGAGGAGCGCACTGCAGGAAGGATCATACAGTCTGTGGACATTCCTTATTTAGGAAGGACCCAGTATGTGGACTGATGAAAGCTTCTTCCCCATGTTTGGTTCACCTTGAACATTCCTGGTTGCATGGCTGGGATGTGATGGTCCAGGCACTTGGGCATGTTAAATCCCACTCGACCCAGGTAAAGGATTTACGCTTTGGCAGTAAGTTCAGAAGAGAGAATGGGCCCTGAAGGTGGGTCTGTTGTTTCATAGATGGATGTGGAAGCTCATCTCCCTGGACTACTGAGGACCCACAGCTTGGGTGGCTGCGCATGATGCTATGGACAGCCTGAATGTGGGAGAGTCAAAGTGCTAGAGGCAGGAGAAGGAGAGAGAAAGAACTGAAACCACCCGAACTGAAAGCTGAGCCCAGCTCCCCAGTGACTTGCAAGATGTGTTGTTATTGGCCTCCTCGTTTCTATCATTAGATAGTGAGAAAATAGTTGGTGAACATGGGAGGAACGAGGTGTGGAGAACTCAGCAACTCACTCTGCAAAGAGGCCGTTTCCTTGTTCACTCGTTGGAAGCCAGGCTGTCGTCAGATGGCTTTAATTCAAGCTGTTTTCCCACTCAGTTTTACTCTGGAGGTTTGTGTCTCTCTCAAAAAGGATTAAAAAGGGTTTGAAGAAGTGACCTGTGTGTCGTCCCCTGTCGAACACATCAGTGTGTTTCAGGCAGGAATGAGAACTCGCAAGGAGGAGAAAGGACCGGTTCGTTTTCAGTCATCCCTCCTCTCTGCTCCCGCTGGGAAGCACCTGAAGGTGAAATCCCCCCTTGTAAAAGGAGCAGGGATCAGGTTTGGGTTGGGATAGAAGGGATTGCAAGGGGGAGAGCACATCTGTTCTTCCCAGTTAAACCCGCTCTGAAAGCTTGGCGTCTTGGGTCCTGTGTCCTTTTTGTCCCTCAAAGAGAAACCCAGGATGTAGGGAATCGTGAGCTGTTGGGTTTAACCCCCCTGCCCAGCAGTCACTGAGCAGCTGCCACCTCTTTAGATCAAATTCCAGCTGGGAATCTCCGAGAAGCCGCTCAGCCCCTGCTTCGTATCCCAGTGAGCAGAGGGGCCGGGCTATGAGGGAAGCAGTTCAGGGTCTGCTGGCTCTTAGAAACCATTGTTTTATTAACAAATGTCAATAGAGTTTGTTTCAAAGTGAGGACAGCGCAGCTGGAACACCCTGCATCCACCCTGCTCCCACCCAGCACACAGCTCTGCGCCCCGGCACCGCTGCTGCCCTCTCCGCACGTTGGAAGGGTCCAGGCTGGTGGCACCAGCTTGGAGGAGGATGGAGCACGTATGGATGTGTTCAGGACTCGAGCCTTTCCCTGCCTCTGGAAGCGATTCCCTTCCAAGGAGGGAAGGTTGCAACTCGGCAGGGATTGGGGTTAAGAGGAGTGAAACCAAACATACAGCCGGGAGAGGACGCAGCACTTGGAAACGATTCCAGTGGCACGAACACTTGCTGCGGTCCTTTAAGTGTCTCTTTGCACTCTAGGCTTTGCAGACTGAAGTGAACTTGGAGTCAATCTGCTTTAATAGAACACCCCCCAATTCCCATAGAGCAGCCAGCAGCTCTCTAGCCAAGTAGCTCTTCAGCCAGTGCACCTAAAGGAGCATTTCTGTAAGGCTTCGGGAGTGGGAGCTGGGGAATGCCACTCTTCCCAAGGGATGGATACACAGTGGGAGAAAATAACTTACCAAAAATAGATTGTTTGAGATCTGAGGAGATACACCACGTCTGCAGGGTTACTTTTCCCCTCAATTCAAAGGTAAAATTGTGCTTCAGACCTTTTTGAAGGAATTGGGACAACGGTGGGAAGGGTTGATCAAAGGTTTAAATACAGCAGGAAGGGGGAGGTAAGTTCTGGGGGTTGTTAATGGGGAGGAGGGAGGTGGTGTACCTCAAGTGTTCCTCAGCAAGGGTGTCAGTCTATCTCAAACAGAGCTACCCAAGGTAGCAGCACCCAGGTTCCTCTGCAGTGCTCAGTCCTGTGTCTCACTGAGGAGCAGAACACAGTTTCATCAGAGACCACGCTTCCATCAGTGCCATCTCGGGTCCTCTGATGTTCAGAACACACTAGAGGTGACTCACGTTTTACAGGGATAGTTTATCAACCTACCTCGAGCCAGGCGCTGAAGAGCACTAAGCACAGGATCCCTTTACAAGGGTGCTGCTCTATCACAGGTTACCTCTGGAACTGCTCCAGCAGCTCTGCAGTAGTGGGGCCCGGCTCTGAGCAAGGGGCTGGGGCTGAAGCATACATCCCGGTATGCACTAAAATCAGCTTTTATCATTAAATCCCTCATTTTAAGCAGTTAACATTTTTTAAGGGTGGAAATTAGGCTTTGGGGAAGAGAATCCCACACCCAACGCTCACGTGAACCAGGATTTGAGACTGGATCAGGGATTATAGTGTATGGCCACACCACTCTGGTTAAAACCCACTCCCAACTGCTTTAGCATGGATGAACAGCGAACCACATGCTGTAACCATAAATCCATCCAGGAATGACCCTGGAGCATGAGCAGCAGCTCAGGGAGGGGATCCTGCCCCTCTGCTGTGCTCTGAGACCCCCCCCCTTGCAGCCCTGATCCAGCTCTGGGGCAGCAGCACAAGAGGGACCTGGAGCTGTTGGATGAGCCCAGAGGAGGCCATGGGGATGCTGCGAGGGCTGGAGCAGCTCTGCTCTGGAGCCAGGCTGAGAGAGCTGGGCTGGGGCAGCCTGGACAAGAGAAGGCTCCTGAAGGGGAGACCTGAGAGCAGCTCCAGTGCCTAAAGGGGCTGCAGGAAACCTGGAGAGGGGCTTGGGACAAGGGCCTGTAGGGACAGGCCAAGGGGAATGGTGTAAAATGAGAGGGGAGATTTAGACGAGATAAAAGGAAGAATTTCTTTAACAATGAGGGTGCTGAGGCGCTGGCACAGGGTGCCCAGAGAAGCTGTGGCTGCCCCATCCCTGGCAGTGTTCAAGGCCAGGTTGGACACAGGGGCTTGGAGCAAGCTGCTCCAGTGGAAGGTGTCCCTGCCCGTGGCAGGGGTTGGGACTGGATGAGCTTTAAGGTCCCTTCCAACCCAAACCATTCTATGAACACAGAGGTACATCAGTGCCCCCCAAACCGTGAAACTAATGAAGGGAAAGGAGAGGGAATACAAAGAGAACAGAGATATTTCTTGGGCCTGTTCTAACCTGCCTTGCTTTTCAGCCTCCCTCAAACCCTTCCTGTCTTGTAATGAACACTGATTGAAGTAGGTTTCGAAGGAAGGGCTAAGGTGCCATCTCAGAAGGCGGCTGTCCCCTCCACGAGCAGGGAGCTCTTAGGCACGCACAGCCACAAGGTACACGTGTCTCAGAAACAAGTCACCAGGGGCCAGCATGCTCCTGTGGCCATCCTCACCCTCGCCTTCAGGTCCTGTGGAACAGCCCCTTCGGTCTAACCCACCATCGCAACGGTGCCACGGCCTCAGTGCCTCCTGCCCTGCATCCACTGCTCCCGAACCGAGCATCTCCTCTCGCAAGGCAGTTGCTCTGGTACCAAAGACGATGGCAGTCCTGTGTTTTCTGTGCTTTTTCTCCACCTCCAGTGTCTGGTTGTTCTCAGAGTCCAGGAGGAAGGGCAGGGGAACCTGGGCAGTTCATGGATGCAGTGGTGCTTGTTTGCAGTACACTAAGAACTCCTGGAAGTCAGCAGAGGTCTTGGCTACTGCGCGTCTGGCTGCTTGGATGCTGTAGAGAGGAGCTTTGCAGGCTGTGCATGAAGAGATCTGCAACAGAGACACAAGCAGCATGTATATCACCCTCCTGCCTCGCTGCAGTCAGCTGCCACCCCTTGGAGCTAGCCCAAACCCCATCTCGGATCCGGAGTACTGCTGCTAGGCAACTGGGTGCTGGTGACAAGGAGTTGTGACAGCGCCGGAGAGCTGTGGCCTCTCTGCAAAGCTGCTATATATAGTGCAGCTGATGTGCTCTCCTCTGCTGGCCTGCCAGTGGGCTGCCAAGAGGGCCAGTGCAGCAGGCAGGGCTCCAGCCGCTCAGCCTGAGGGCATGGGCTGTCTGAGAGCTCACTGCTGGGGTAAACACACTGATGCTGAGCACATGGACCCTTCCCTTTGCTGCTGAGCCCGGGACCCTTCCCTTTGCTGCTGAGCCCATGGACCCTTCCCTTTGCTGCTGAGCCTGGGACCCTTCCCTTTGCTGCTGAGCCCATGGACCCTTCCCTTTGCTGCTGAGCCCATGGACCCTTCCCTTTGCTGCTGAGCACATGGACCCTTCCCTTTGCTGCTGAGCCCATGGACCCTTCCCTTTGCTGCTGAGCCCATGGACCCTTCCCTTTGCTGCTGAGCACAGGGACCCTTCCCTTTGCTGCTGAGCCCATGGACCCTTCCCTTTGCTGCTGAGCACAGGGACCCTTCCCTTTGCTGCTGAGCACGGGGACCCTTCCCTTTGCTGCTGAGCACGGGGACCCTTCCCTTTGCTGTGCTTACTTCCCTGTATTCCAGAGAACAAGAGAACAAGCAGCAGCTCCCTCTCCCCTCAGTCCTGGTGGTGCACTCCAGTTAAAGGGAGCTGTGCATTTATTTTTCCCTATAATCATGAAATGCAGCAATATGGTTTGGATATGGATAGGAGTGAACAGTCCATCCTCCACTTCAGCAAACCAACTGCAGCCTAAGTGCACATCCTGCGCCCTTGTGCTTTGGCTCTATTAGTACAGTTCATAAGGCAACCTTGTTGTTTGGGCAGAGGTTTGGTTATTTAAGCAAGTAACCTGTGCCTAAGCTCTCCTGCCCTGGTTTTCTCCCCCCTTCAGCAGCTTGTCTTGAAGATCAAATAGAGATTCTCTACTTGTCTCAGGACGTTCTGCACAAGGGGAAGGTCAGAATGTGAGAAATGGCACTGAAAAAGCACGTTTAGAAGAGTCACTGCCTGGCGTTCTCCTCCCGTTAGGGTCCAGATCCGAGAGCTCTCACCTCCCGTTGGTCTCCGTTCAGCCACGCAGTCAGATTTCCACGTTGGGATCTGTGAATCCTTTCTTCCCCTCATTCACCAGCACCGGCTTCTCTGTCCTCGTGTGCCAGACCAGGATCTGAGGAAGCAACAGAAGTCATTGCCTGCGCTAACAACTCTTCCTGCGCCTTCCATCAATGGTGCGGTTTCACCGCCTGCCCTGGTGCCTCCAGAGCCCCGGAGCAGCGCATCTCACAGCGTGCTGCCTTGGGACATTAACCTGCTCCTTCCAGGGAGCCAGCAACCAAGAGGCTCAGCATCCCTCGCAGTGATGTAAGGCAGCTCCCTCATAAGCACGTGTGCTCCCCACAGAGCCAGCTCCTTCCTCCTGTTACTACACCCTTGGCCAGTGTGGAAACAGTAAAGGGAGTTTTTCAGTGCATCCTGATCATCCATCGCTGCAGGGAAGCCCTGGATGCAGGAGGTAGGTGCAGAACGCTCCCCACCTTCCACGTGCACGTGGCCCTTCCAGAACCCAGCAAGCATTTGTCTGCCAGATCACCCCAAAACCCCGTACACGTCTCTTGGTGTGCTGGCCTCGCACTGCCGCTATCTGTACCATGTACAATGCGTCGCTTAAAGCCCCTCTCCAGCTTAAACCAGAACTGAAGCTTCTGCTAAAGCATCCCT